TGTAGACAGTGATGTGTTCTCCTTCAATCCCATCAGCATATAATCATGTTATTTCTCCCATCTTAAAAATATATATGTAGGGCCAGCCGAGTGGCTCATTGGTTAAGAGTTGGCTGGGGAGAGCGAGCTCTGAGCAGCAGGGCCCCGGTTCAGATCCCACATGAGGGCCAGTGACACTGCGCCCTCTACAGCTAAGATGGTGAACAACAGCTCGGCCTGGAGCTGGGCTGCCGTGGGTTGCTGGTGATGGTGTAGGCTGCAGTGGGGCTGCAGGGGGCTGCCATGAGCTACTGTAAGTGACTGGCAGCCAGCGTGAGCAGCCGTCCAATGGCCAGCTACCGATCTGCCTCAGCCGGGAAGAGCGCAATGATCACAATACCAACATGGGCCAGTGAAGCAACGTCCTCCACGAGACTGAAGAACCAAAGGACAGCAACTGGTGTGTTCCCCTTCCCCGATTCCCCAATGCTGTTCCCTCCCCCAATTCCCCAATAAAAACCTTAAAAAAATATATATATATATATGTATGTATGTGTGTATATATATATATGTATGTATGTATGTGTGTATATATATATGTATGTATGTATGTGTATATATATATATATATATATATGTATGTATGTATGTGTATATATATATATATATATTCTGTCTACTTCCCCCACTAGATACCACCCATTTCCTTTTTCCTTGTACACTAGGGCTTTTCCACCTTGACATGTTGATGTTTTGGACTCAACATTTAAATTTATAATTTTAAATTTCTCACTTTATTGTGCAAGTTTGTCCTGTGCATTACAGGATGTTTAGCAGCAACCCTGGTTTCTACTCCTAGATGCCAGTAGCAAAGCAAGCCCCACCTCCAGCCTCCACACATTGTCAAATGTCCCCTGGGGGCAAAATCACCCCCAATTGAGAACCACTGCTCTGCAGCAAACCTCAAAAGAGTGATCTGTCTGTACACTTGTCTCCCCCCATCCTCTCTTCACCACCTCACCAAAAATGCTCTTGTCAAAGTCACCAATGACTTTCATGTTGCTAAGCCAATGGCCATTTCTCATCTTATTTAACCTCTTGCCAGATATGGCGTGTGTGTGTGTGTGTGTGTGTGTGTGTGTGTATTTTTAAAATTATTATTGATTACTCCCACCTTCTTGGAACCATATTCTTCATTTGTCTTCCAGAAACCCACTGTCTTGCTTTTCCTCCCATCTCACTGTCTGTTCCTCCTATGTCTCTTTTGCTGATTTCTCCTCTTCTCTCTGACCTCTTAATGGTGGGATGCCCTCAGGCTGACTGTGTGTCCACACCTAGAGAGCCAATTATTACATCCTAAGGTATTTTGTCTTAACAGTTGTTCTGTTACAGATGGCAGCTTGCAGTTGTCCATAGTAAGAGTATTTACACCATGGAAATTGGCAAACACTACAAATCATGGCTTCCCCCTCATCAGTTGTTAAACATGTACCTGTTTATCAACTGCCCCAGTCCTCAAACCTTTCTTTTAACTACACTCACCCTCTTGGTGATCTTATCCAGTCTCATGGGTTCAAACACCATCTCACTCTTCAAGAATTAAATTGCAGAGGTGGCAAGAACCCAATTTCTTAAAATCCCCTTCTATTCTAATAAAGCGTATTATTAATGTTAAAAAAAAGAATTAAATTGCAAGGGAAAAAAGGAAAGGGAGGAAGAACCTATATATTTTAAGAGACATATCAGCCAATTGCAAGAGTGAACATTATTTGAATCCAGATTCAAAGAAACCAACAGTAAAATATATACAAACAATGACTAGACATGACTAGATATTTGATAATATAAAGACTTATTGTCTTAGATGTGATCATGGTACTGTCGTTTTAATAAGGAGTCTTTCTGTTTTAGAGAATACTGAAATATTCATGAATAAAATTATATAATGGCTGGAATTTGCTTCAAAATAATTTGGAGGGTTAGGGGGATGATGGTAGGGGGCTCTGTGAAACAGGGTTGGTCATGAGTAGATAATTGTTGAGGTTGGGTGATGGGTTTATGGGGACTCATACTAACACCTCTATTTTTTAATATATTTGAAATTGTTCTTACAAAGTTTTTCTAACTCCATCTGAATGTTGAAAACTCCCCAAATTCATACCTTCCTTCTAGACTTCTCTGAATTCTAGACTCAAATACCTAACTAGTCTCCCCAGTGTCTCCACTTAGATTCAGACAGGTATCCAAAACTTGGAGCATCGCACTCCAAGCTGCTTCTCCCCCAGTCTTCCCCACTTCAGGAATGCGAAGAAGCATCCCATCCAATCTTGTGAGAGAGGTTTATACAGAAATGAGAAAATTTAACAAACGATCACAGATTTAAATATGGTGGATAGGTGTACAAGGCAGTGAGGTCATTAGTTATCCAATGAATTGTCCAAATTTAATTCCCATTCAGAGAATCAAGGGATTAGAGGAGGAAGGAATCACTTTTTAGAAGGTATGGCAATTTCAACTAAACATTTCTTGAGTCTATGAATGTTGGTTTATTCTAGGACTAGAGGATATGTGACTTTGCAATAGGATGTCAATCCAGATATGAACCTAACTATATTTTGCACTTAAACACTGCAGCGTGGAGAAGGTAAATTAGTGACTGTCATGTGGCTTATATATTTATTTTTCATTGTTTCATTGAGATATAATTCACATAAAATAAAAATCACCCATTTTAAATGTATAATTCAATAATTTCTTAGTAAATTTACAGAGTTGTGCAGTACTCATCACAATCCAGTTTTTAAAAACTTCCATCAAGCCCCAAAAGATCCCTGCTGCTCAATTGCAATCACTTCCCAATTCCCACCCTCACCTCCAAGCAACCACAAATCTTTCTGTCGCTATTGGTCTGTCTTTTCTGGATATTTAATATACATGGAGTCAGAGATTATATGATTCTTTTTCTGTCTGGTTTCTTTCACCTAGCATGATTTTATTTTTAGCACAATATTTTTGAAATTCATCCATGTTGTTATCAGCAGTTCTTTTTTATTTTTTCGCTGAATAGGTTACATTGTACAGATACACCACATTTGGTTTATATAGTCATAAGCTGGTGAACATTTGAATTGTTTGCACTTTTTGGCTATTATTAGATGTGGTTTTAACTAGGAAATATTTCAAATGGAGAGAAAAGTATAATAGCAAGCGTTTATAGTGTTTACTGTGTGCCAGATATTGTTCTAAGTGTGTTAGACACAATGGTGTATCTAGCGTGTTTGACATCCAGAACAGGCCAATTTTCACCCACACCCCTCTCTTTCTTTCTTCACTTTATTTTTTAGCAGTTTTAGGTTCAGAGCAAAACTGAGTGTGAAGTAGAGAGTTCCTAAATACCCACCTGCCCCTTGCTGTGTCACAAATGCACAGCCTCCCCCACTATCAAATTCCAGCACCAGTGTGGTACATTTGTTACAGCTGATGAACCTGCACTGACACATCACTACCAGCCAAAGTCCATAGTTTGTTAGGTCTCCATGTTGTACATTTAATGAGTTTTGACAAACATATAAATGACATGTGTCCACCATTATAGTATCATATAGTTTCACTTCCATAAAAATCCTGTGTTCCACCTATTCCTCCCTCCCCATCAACCTCTGGCAACCACTGATCTTTCTACTGTCTCCAGCTTCATCTTTTCCATAATGTCATATAGTTGGAATAATGTGGTATGTAGCCTTTTCAGACTGACTTCTTTCGCTTCGTAATATGCATTTAAGTTTCTTCTGTCTTTTCATGGAACACCAAAGCTGTGCTCCAACCATTGACAAATCTGGTTATAGTGCTAATTAAACATGAATATACAAAGACAATGAGTTTTGACTGTCATTGACAATTTTGCAGGATTTAAGGACCCAAAACAAACTATATTATTCATTTTCTTGCTAATTCAATATATAGGATAAAAATCTTCCTTAATACATTAATGTAATTAAAAATATTAATCCATTACCTTTTTGTACTGTAATATTGGTTTTACTTTTCATTAAAAATTGTACTAGCATCATTATTTAGATGAAGTTTAATAAAATATTTTCACTCTCTGTTTCTTTTCTGGTCATTATTAACTTCATTTCAGGATTATTACTGAAAGCGTTTTTGTTTGTTTGTTTGTTTGTTTTTTGGTAAATGAGAGAGGGCCCAGAGAATGAGAAGAGAAACCACAGACAGGAGGAAATATTTGCAAAACACGTATATGATAAAGGACTATTATTAAACATACAAAGAACTAATAAAATTCAACCATAAGAATACAAACAACCTGATTGAAAAAAATCAGAAAAAGATTTGAACAGATACCTTCACCAAAGAAGATATACAGACAGCAAATAGGCATATGAGATGATACTCAACATCATGTCATTAGGGAATTACAAATTGGAAAACACATATTAGGGCAGCTAAAAGTCAGCCTAGCCTTTATTCATTCTGAGCTAGTCCTTTCACAGGGTAAAAATATTCCCTTTTAGACCCCATACGGCTATCCAAATGGTGAATGAAGCCCGGCTCCAGCAGGTACACATACCTGAGAAGAGGGGGCGTGGCGCCTTCAGCCTAGTGCGCAAGCGTGACTGTAAAAGCAGTTAGGACTGCCCCTGGCGCCTGAGTAAAATATTTAAATGCAGCTATTGGGACTTTCCCCATACACACAACATACTATATTCTTTTATCTGTGATGTGTTCATACAGTTTTATTAATTCCTTGGATAGACAAATTCCTCTCATTTTATTTCCATTGGGTATGTATTCATACTGAGGTGACTTTTGTCCCCATGGTGGTATTGTCCTCAATAAAGTTTGCAACTCAGAATGACATAGCTTTGCTAGAAAACAAAAACAAACAAACCAAAACCAAATTATTTCACCTCACGAGGGCTTGGGGAATTTGAGTTTTATTCTTTTACTCAGGCACTTCAGTAGTTGCCTACTTTTCTGGGGGCGATGCCGCGTATGGACCCGATGGACCCCGGCGAGGCCGCCATTTTGGAATCTTCTTTAAGGGTCTTTTACCGGCTTTTCGTGCCGCTGCCGCCGCTTTCTGCGGCTTTGCCCGGCAGGATGAATGTGATAGACCACGTGCGAGACATGGCGGCCGCGGGGCTGCACTCCAACGTGCGGCTCCTCAGCAGCTTGTTACTTACAATGAGTAATAACAACCCGTGAGTTGAGGCGGGGAGCGGCCTGGGGCTGAGGAGAAAGCGGCGCCTGTTTGGGAGTGAGGGCTGAGGGGGCCTGGGGACTGGCGGGAAGGAGCGGCCGCGGGCCACAGCCGAGGCTCCGGGGTCCGTGAGGCCTCGTCGGGCGGAGCCGAGTTAGGAACGCAAGTTGAGTTCATTGGGGCCCGGCATTGTGCCCGGCGCTGGGATGAATTCCCTGCGGGGGATGTGTCGTGCGGCGGCGGCTTGGAGAAATGAGAGGCGGAGGCTCTGAGGACGACCCTGGCGAGGGTTTCCCGAAAGTTGGGAGCGTAGGGTTTCCTGAGGCACCTGTCACCCGGCATAGCGACGGTCACATCACAGGGCTGACTCCTCCCTTCCCAGCTCCTTTCTGAGGAACGTTCTTGCCCTCGCCGAAGCTCGGAGGCCAGCCCGCTGGTTTTATACCTTTGTCCTACGTCTGAGACTGATGTGTCCCCCCGCCCCCTCTTGAGTGTAGTTCATAGCCTCGCCTCAGCAAACCCCTGAAAGCGGGAGACTCCCTTGATGGGTGGGAGTGGCGCCTTTTTCAGGACTTGCACTGCCCGTTTCATGTCTTAGGATGGAAGAAATACAGGGCGCTTTCCAGCCTTGTGGGCATGTCGCTCCTCTGCTTAAATTTCTCCACTGGGCTTAAAGTTCTTTCCCATGGCCGAGGGGGCCAGACGTCTTCCCCCCCACACCCCAAAATCTCAGATGCTCTGCGCACTGTACTCCAGCCTCGCTGGCTGGTCCTGCTGACCCTTGAACTGGTGTCCAACCACGTTCTCAGCTCAGGGCTCTTGCATTTGCTTTTCTGCGCAGAGTCCTTACCTCAGACCTGCCTCCTCATCCAGGTTCCAACTCTGATATTCCCATAACAATTGCTCTTTTTATCCTCACTCTTCTATCTCTTGGCTCTATCTTATATTCTGCACCACTTTTTTTTTTTTAATTGAAATATAATTGCCATGTAACATCGTATTAGTTTCAGGCACACAACGTAACGATTCGGTATTTGTATGTATTGCCAAAGGGTCACCACAGTAAGTCTAGTTTGCACCCATCACTACACATAGTTAACAGTGTTTTTTCTTGTGATGAGAACTCTTATGATCTGTATTCTGCATCACCCTTAACACCTGGTGAAGACAGCACAGTGCCTGTGAAGCGCGCACACATTGATTGGGTGTGCTAAGGAAGTGCATACGACCTCAGGGAGGTGAAGTACTCTGTCCAGGTCCACACATTGAGTAAGTGGAGGAGCCCCGGTGTCTGGATTTTGGTCCTTTTGACTCTAAGATCTCCATTCTGACCTCCCAGTCTACTGCCTCTAAATGGCAGTATAATCGAATCTCCTACCCATCTGCATTTGGCCTGCTCTTGAAGCTGTCTAGGTCAGAGAAGAAAGGCTCCTTAAGTGCCTGTGATGCCTGCCGCCGCTGCTCCCTGTTTCATTTCCATTAACGTGCTTTTGGACCTCACTATGTGCGACCCATCATTTTGCCACCATCCACTTAGTGTTGACACGGAAGAACGCTGGTCTCTGTCAGCCTTCTGTGTTTACTCTGGAGCCTTTCGCTTGGTTCTGGGTGATTTGTCAAGGCACACAGTTTCCACCATGGGGGATTTATGCACCAGTTAGTCATTATTCTTGCTTCTTGAAGATGTTACAGGATAGTTACAAGCAGTTTGATCCTCTGACTAGACTTGACTTGTTCATATTAGGTTAAACGGGCAGTTTCCTAGTGTCAGGAGGCATTTAAATTCTGGCCTTTATTATTTATATTTAATTTTTTCTTATTGAATTAGCAATACAACACAGTTAAAAAATTCAAACAGAGCAAATGGGGTATGCAGATAAATGCCTCTCTCTAATTCTTGAACCTCACCCTGCCATTGCCCTTCTCCAGAGGCAGATAACTATTAACAGTTTCTCATAGATCATTCCAGAGATGTTTGCATGCACAAGTAGACATGTATGTTATTATACAATTTAAGTATCTGAATGCTTTCTCTGAGTATAGTAACATTTTCTATCAAATCTTATTTTTCATTAAATACATAGACTTGCAGAGTTGGAAGAGATCTTAATTATCTGGACTATACCTTTCAACCTTTCAGTCCTTGAATTTTCTTTGTAACTTTATGCAGTGTTAAGAGTTCCTATCTTTTTTTTAAGACTTTTTTTTATTAAGATTAAATTCATATACCATGGAATTCACCCTTTTAAAGAATATATTTCTGTGGTTTTAAATATTTTCACAAGAGTTGTGCAACTATCACCACTGTCTCTTCCAAAACATTTTCATTACTCCAAAAAAGAAACACCGTATATATTAGTAGTCACTTCCTGATCCCACTTCCCCAATCTCTGGCAACCACTAATCTATGCTACCTAGTCTTTTTGTTTTTTAATTTTATTGGGCAACAGCCATGGTCATTGGTTACACATTGCTTTCATACTACAATGGCATAGTTGACTCTTTTAGGGAGGGCGCAGCTCACAGTGGCCTAGGCTGGGATCGAACCAGCAACCCTGGTGTTATCAGCACCACGCTCTAACCAACTGAGCTAACCTGCCACCCTCTATGCTACCTATTCTTGAGTATCCTTCATTTGTTGAGAAGTTAACTGTCTCTAGGTTTCTTTGACTTCGACTGTTCTTTTAAGCAGCTATAGCTTTTACCTATCAAAGAAAAACATGTAAACTCCTCTTGCGAAGAAGTAAGTGGAAGGGTGGGATTGGAGATAAAAAATACGAGTTTCTTATTAAAAATGGTAGCCAGCCTCTAGGCAGTTATAACACTTATGAGCAATATTTAAGGTTAAAGAAAAAGTTTTGAAACACTGTCTCCATTATACTGTCCTTAAACCCCTGAGACGCAAGGAGATAATTCTTCTAGTGCTAGTAAAGTTTACTTTTGTATGTAAAATTAAAAAAACTTTTATCAAATAATGCAAATATTCTTTTTCTGTCTATCCTACTGGCTTATCCTATTCTAGTTCCATATTTCAGGTTTCTTCAGTATTTGAAGAATACTCAGTTCCCTACAAACCTCTTTTTGCTCAGTATGTTCCTAAAAAGGATTTAAGTGGTTGAGGATTCTCTTTTCCAGGTTCTTCAGTCCTTCTTTGGTAATATTAGTTAAGTCACTGTGATTGCTCTCCTTTGTCTTATGTTATCCTAAAACTTGATGTTAATATAAGATAATATGGATATATATCAAACTTAAATTAAGAAGTCTTGGGTTAAAGAAGGGGAAGAAAAGATGTATTACATTTCTCTTTAGAGGTACCATTGCTTTTATAGTAAGTAAAGAAAGAAAAGCATATTAAAACAATACTTTAAGACAGTTTCCTAGATGTTGACCATATTAGCATAGAGTACGACTCTCATGCCTCTAATTTTTGGGACTAGCACTTAAAGTACATTGACTTTTCTGTAAACTGATTACATAAGGCTTTGTGCTAGGCTGGGACACTAAGAAGGGCTGACTCTTAAGGGTGGGCACTAAGGAGGGTGTTCTTTCTAACATCTCAAAACAACCCATGTAGGGGGTATAATTTTTTTTGTTTTCTAGTGAGTTATTCTCCCCATCTCAGAAGTACCAGCTTTTGGTGTATCACGCAGATTCTCTCTTTCATGATAAGGAATATCGGAATGCTGTGAGTAAGTATACCATGGCTTTACAGCAGAAGAAAGCCCTAAGTAAAACCTCAAAAGTGAGACCTTCAACTGGAAATTCTGCATCTGCGCCACAAAGTCAGGTAATTGGAGATAGAAGTATGGTGATTTTTTTTTTTTTTTTGAGAGCAAGTGAGACTGAAAGAATTTACAAGACTGCTGATCAGATTCGGGAGATGGTAAAATATAATTTTAAAGGGAGCTGACTGGAAAAACAAAGATGAAAAACCACTTAGATACAAGAATGCATCCAACCAAGCATTAAGGCTAAAAGCAAAATTCACTCTGGGTGAATCTAAAAATATAATTAAATATGACTTATCTGAGTTCCAACCAAAGTCATGCATTGTTCCTCCCTTTTATATAAACAGAACTCAAAATATAAAGTGTTTTTATAATGTTAATGAAAGTACAAGTTTTAAAATGTCACTCAGTTGTAAGGACTGTGAGTACCTGGGGAAGTTTATGGGAAATCTCAGAATTCCTGCCAATTTTTGATAATTGCTTAGATTTGATCATTGCCCATTTTTGATAGTTGCTTGATCATTAGTTAAATAAATGAAGGGGGGAAATTGTAATTTCACCATTTGACGAAGCCATCCCATTGCTAAAAATTGACCCTAATAGTAGACGCAAAGATTTACGGGGTATATAAGGCTGATTATTGCAGCATTGTTTATAATGATAAGAAAATAGAAGCAAAAGTGTTCATCAGTAAGGTCTAATTAAATTGTAGTATAGCCATAGTTGGAATATGATGGAACTATAAAAGAAATGAAATAGAGGTATATGTGCTGATTTGGAAAGAACTGTATATATTAGAAAATAAGGTTTGAAGCAGTGTGTTCAATACTCTATTTGTTTAAAGAGGATGGTTTATAGATACATAAATATTTCCTGGTATATGCCTAAATATATATGATAATGTGCCTGACAGGTTTTATGTATGTGAAGGAAATAAATTTAGCAGTGGAAAGTTTTAGGGTGAAGGGAACTTTTACTTTTCAATTTGAACCTGTCTAAATTGTACATGCAACTTAAAAAGGAATGTCAGTGGAATAAACTGGAAGTGAAATTATAAGTCACGTTTTTTCTGCTTTGTATTTTGCCACATTAAAAAAAGACAAATTCATGTAGTGTTTTTGTTTTTTTTTAAGCCTGTGGATCTTCATCTTGTTTTATATCTCTTTATGTAAAACCTTTGTTTTTTGTTGTTAAAGAACTGATTGCCAGGATTTTCTGGGTTTTTTGACACTGAACGGAAGTCATATGTGCTTTCACATAGGATCGCTCATAGAAATAACTTTTTTTGAGCATTCGGTATGCCAAGCACCATGCTAAACCTTCATATGAATTAAATACATTTAATCTTTAAGGACTTTCTTAAAATTGAGATATAATTCACATCATAAAACTCACAATTAGTGAATTTTAGTATATTCACAAAATTATGCAACCATCACCACTATCTAATTCTGGAACATTTTCATCACCCTAGAAAAAGCAGTACCCCTTTTCTTCCCAACCCCTGGAAATCACTAATCTTTCTGTTTCTGTGGATTTGCCTATTCTGGACACTTCATATGGTTGGAATCATACAATATATGGCCTTTTATGTCTGGTTTCTTTTACTTAGCATAATATTTTCAAGATTCATCCACATATTGAATAATCAGCTCTTCACTCCTTTTTATTGCCAAATAATATTCCATTGTATGGATATGCCATATTTTACCTGTTCATTAGTTGATAGACATTTCGGTTGTTTCCACTTTTTGTTTATTATTAATCATGCTCCTGTGAACATTTGTGTGCAGGTTTTTGTGTGGATATGTTTTCAGTTCTCTTGGCTGCATATGTAGGAGCAGAATTGCTGGGTCATATGGTAACTGTATGTTTAACATTTTGAAGAACTGCCACACTGTTTAATATTTTCAGGAGATGTTTTCTTGCCCTCTTAGTGTCTTCCATCAGAAATCGAAGTGAAATACAAAATGGCCGAATGTTACACAATGTTGAAACAAGATAAAGATGCCATTGCTATACTTGATGGGATCCCTTCAAGACAAAGAACTCCCAAAGTAAGCTGAATGAACAATTTGTTACATCATTTCCTCCTCTCCAGTCCTTCCAACCCTCTTCCTCCATGATTTCTGTATACACTAGGGAGTCCATCTGAACATTTTACTCTTGGCTCACATTTTCACGTTGTTCCCTTGCTAATGGAGTGAGTGGGGGGCAGTTCACAGAGGTAGAATGACTTTCTTATGAGACCCTGAAAATTCAGCTGATGAAAATGGTAGCTGGAAAATACTACGAGTGCTTATTCTTTGGTATTTCTAACTTTAGAAAATAATGATTTGCAATACACGTCCAGGTGACAACCATACTTTTTTAGAACCTCATTTTTTGCACTCTTTTAGGTATACCCATTTGATAATGTGAGTGATTTTATTAATCCCTTCATTTTCAAAATCAAGACTAGAAGATCCTTCTGTACTTATTTGTGTGGGGGATATGTATTTGTGTTTGATTAGAATACCTTCAGCTGAAATCAAAAGATCTGGTATCTTGTCTGAGTTTTGGGCCTATAAGCTGTGTGCAGCATGTACTTGGGCAAATTTCCAATCTGAACTTTACTTTTTTTTTTCTTATCTATAAAATGAGCATAATACTTGCTCTGCTAACTTTGTAAAAAGCTAAATAAGTTCATGTATGTGAGAAAACTTTAAAAGTAATATTCTGTAAGGAGTATTATATTGGGCATCTTTGATTATAGCTTTTTTGAAGTCAAGTTTAGAAGCACAATGAGAGTTCTTGCTCTTAGGATTGAATCCACATCAGTATTTAATATTCCACCATATACTCTCAGGTCACGTGCCTTCCTCACTTCATGAAAAACTGTTCTGTGTAACTTGTGCTTAACAGTGAGGGATTTTATATGTAAAATGTGTACATCCTCCTGCCCTTAAAAGAAAAGGAATCTAAGCGGTAGGGACTGGTGTAGTTAGTGCTTTTTCACCCAAATGTTGCTGAATTTTAAAAACCAATCACACTTGACAAGAATGTGTTTAAATATCCCCTCATATTGAGGATTTATTTACAATTTTCTGAGTTTTTACGATTAAGCTATTTCCCCAGTATATTTTATGGTGGTGGCTGCTATTAAAAACATTTGGAAGGGCCGGCCGAGTGGCTCAGTTGGTTAAGAGCTCGCTCAAGAGTTTGAGCTCTGAGCAACAGCGGTTCGAGTCCAGCCCGAGCTGAGCAGCCGCTGAGCTGCCAACAGGTAGCAGGATGGGCTCAGCTTAAAAAAAAACAAAAACAAACAAACAAACAAAACATTTGGAAGCATATTATAGACTAAACTGCCTCATAATCAGCATGGATGCTTATACACTAAATTGTGTTCTGGTACTGTATGGAAGTCTTACCCCAAGAATAATTTTTTTGCATATATGAAGAGTATCTTCCTTTTGGAAGATGCTGTTTTGATTTTAAACTTTAAATTATACTTATTTCTTATCTTACTGGAAATATATCATAATTTCCTCCTTAACAACTTGAAGGAGTTTGGGGACAATTTTGAAAATGAGTAATGGCAAAGAAGCTCGGTTTTGTGGTATCCAACACTTCAGTGTTTACTGCCATCGTTTTCAGAGGGACTAGAGGAGTCTGCGTTTGCCAGGAGTACATAGCCTTCATTCTGTAGAGCTGTTGTAGCCAGGAGCAAACAAAGATGTGCGCCTCAAAACATAAACCTATAATATTTACAGTTTTTCTTTCTTGTCCGTTAGGGAGTTAACTGGCTTCTCAGTCTGTGTAAAGGACAAGGAAGTGAGTCAAAATACGTCTAAATGAACGTCTGTTAATGTATGGTAAACACCGCCACACATTCCTTCACATTTTAAAGGAAAATTCCAGTGTGAGATTATTATATCTTGGTAAATCTTCAGCTTTTAAGAGCAAACATACTAACATACAATTTGTCACCCAGTTTTTAGAGAACAGTGACTGCTGTGTTTGTTTATAATTGGTGGAATGTGGCTTTATGATATCCCCAAGTAAGGATCTGTTTTAAAAAGAATTGACTTTCTCACTAGGTAGTATGCAAAACTCTTTGGAAATGCCAGCTAGTTTAAAGGGAATTTTGATATTTGTTGGTCTATCAGTCATGGTTTGTTAACAAGCAGTCAAGAAAGGTTCTTAAATTTAAACCTCTTATTCTTTTCAAGTATTGACACCAATACTGGAGTTTTCCTTTAAGTACCTTCTTTCACATTTCAACATAGCCTAAAATGGAAAATCTGAGGCCAAATAAAAATAGTTTTATTTCTAGTATTTCATTATTTCATTGTTTGAATCAGTGTGGATTAATGCCATACTAGGTTGTTATATATACTGTAAGTCCATAATTGAATCATAGTCTTCATCTTCAGAGCCACTCTTTTGAGTAAATATCTGGCATATGAAGCTACAGATAATTGAAGAGATTGTGATTGGCCTTTTTTCTTTTGTGCCCTCATATTGACTGCTTCCTTGGGTCAGTGATCTGGCAAACTCTGTTGCATTATGATCCATTAATTTTAAATTGGAATATTGTGGTTTTTTTTCTCTTTGGACTATTATGATCATTTATCCCTTCCCTGTAACTTCTACATTCTTTGGAACTTTTAGGTTTTCTCAAATTTTCCCTGTTGCATTTTTAGGAAGGGTCATATTAATAGAGCTTTACTGAGTTACGTATTTGAATTGTGCTATTTAAATAATGTAACCAATCTGGATCATTGTCACCTCTAGAGGTCAGTTAGAGTTTGATTTTTGTAGCATTACTCTGATGAGTCAGCACCTATCATCTGTCAAAGCTTTAAGCATTGGAAAGGCTATAGTCTAGTTGGTAGACTAATTGTAAGAGAGAAGCCAAGTATCTGTATCTGCTATTTCCTTTTTGGGGAAGATTGATCTGATCTTTCTTAACTATGTTAAGAATTCCTCACTTTGTATACCTTGATGTTAATTGCATTTTAAAAGTGTAAACTTGAGCACTTTTAGGGTAGTTCATCTCCTGTCTTAAGATCAAGAAAGAAGGTAATTAGAATTCTGTAACATTTGTCAAATGAATGTTAGTCCTGTTTCCAGAGGCAGCATCTTTGGTCCAGATATTACTGGACCTTTTTTGGTTGGGTAAGTGAGAGGAGTCTGACTTCCTTTTAGAAGTGGGAGGACATAGGAAAAGCAAAGGTAGTGATTCCCACTTTGGTTTGAAGAATAGGGCTGGTATTTCCACAGGGCTGTGGGTAGATTTCCAGTAAAAAGTAGACTAGTCGCTGGTAATAAAAATTGAGACTTACTGATGGTGAAGTATTTTCTTTGCAGTATACACTTAATCTTACTGCCTTTTATTTTTCTTTATTACAGATAAACATGATGCTGGCAAACCTGTACAAGAAGGCTGGTCAGGAGCGCCCTTCAGTCACCAGCTATAAGGAAGTGCTGAGGCAGTGCCCACTAGCCCTCGATGCCATTCTAGGTACAGAGCATTCTCTGCCTGTTTTCATGGAGTGTTTGCTCTTTAAGGTAGTAGTTCTCAATCTTGGCTATACATTAGGTAGAATAGCTTTATTTTTTTTTTAAGTTGCTCTAGAGAGTGATTCATAGATTACCCTTGGTCATGTATTTCACTGATCAAGAAATATTAAATTATGTTTGTTCTGTCATAATGCATCTTCATTAGAATAGGGAAGGGGTTCTCTTGTAGAGTGGGGAAAGGATAACCTATTGCTTCTTGCATTGTAGGATGCTATGTCTCACCTTCTTTCTCCTGCTTTCTGTTGGATTAGGTTTGCTGTCCTTGTCTGTAAAAGGTGCAGAGGTGGCATCAATGACAATGAATGTGATCCAGACCGTGCCTAACTTGGATTGGCTATCTGTGTGGATCAAAGCATATGCTTTTGTGCATACTGGTGACAACTCGAGAGCAATCAATACCATCTGGTGAGACATACAAAATTAATTCAGTGTTCTTGAGGCCCTTTCCCTGTTTGGAGGCTGATGTATCTAAATTAGCAAAACAGAAAAATAAGATGCTTATCTCTTGGTGTTGCAGCCAGTTGTCCCTGGGCTTTGTTAGTGTCTTAATGTTCTGAATGGTCCCAAATGTAATAATCTCTGCCAAGGACCTGTTAAATGTAGATTTGAACCGAGATTATCTCGCTCGGTACTTGCAAAAATAATAACCCTTGCAAAGCAGACTGCCTCAGTGTGTCGTGCTTAAACCCGGAAGCCATTTTTTTGGATGCCCCAGAAGCATACATAGATTATTGTAGCACCTGACCTGGGTTGCCTCCCTAGGATTGGGATTTTCTTTGTAGTCAGGTAAAGTCCAAGGACAAGAGTCTGGGGTTTGTGTTTTTTGGTTTATTAATAAGTCATTTGGTTGATTAATAAGTAGCTGTCACTTGTGAATGACATTGCATTTAACACCGTATAGTGTATGTTGTCCTCTGAAAAACTGCAACCAGAAAGTTCTCTCTAGGAAATGAGCTTTGTGCTTTATTCTGTATATTTGGTATTTTATCCTGTGTAACTTTTTTTTTCAATCATAAGCTCAGCATAAGAAAATCGAGTGTATACAGTTTGTTTTTAGTTTCTTATTAAAAATTTCATACATACACAAAAGAAAATAGTACCTATATGCCCATCACCCAGATTGAACAACTAAGAGGATGTATAATAGATTTTAAGGTTCAATGTTTTATATCTTCAAGTTCACTAGAGAAAAAGTCCTTATTGCGAGATAACGTGGATCTTCTGGGAAGCTTAGCAGATCTGTACTTCAGAGCTGGAGACAATAAAAACTCTGTCCTCAAGTTTGAACAGGCACAGATGTTGGATCCTTATCTGATAAAAGGTAAGTAACTCTTGGGGCAAAGCAGAAGTGGCCGTTAGAGGGGCATATCCCAGAAGCTAGGGTGAAAATGTATCATCTTCTGATACCATTTTTCATAGAAGTAGTTTGTAAAACTTATTACAGTAGCCTTTTATCTTTTTTTAGATCCTGACACATGTCTCTAACACTTGGGTAATCCCATTTGAGCAGTTGTTTTTGCTTCAATTTAAGTGTCATCACAGATCATTATTTAGCTTTTTTTTCTTTTGGGAGGAGTCATGGCCCCTCCTTGTGATTTATAAATTTATGATGTGCTTGACTGAGAATTTGGATGGCATTCCCAGAACCATAATATCCTTTTAGGGAATTTAGCTTTACTGTATCCTTAATATAGTTAAAAGGGAGTAAGTGAATGGATATTAAGAAAGAGATAATGTAGTTAAAGGAAATAGTTAGGAATGAACAACAGAAAAATCATTGATCTGAAAGAAGATTGCAGCTGAAGGTGTAAGCCACAGGGACTTCAGGGGATGACTGTTGTCTGACTGGCAGTGAGTGAAGGCTGTGTGCTCAGGCATAGTAGTGGGAAATAAGATCAAACAGGTTGAAGTCTACTTGTAAAGGCCCAAAAATTGCCATCAGAAAAACATGACTTTATGACAATAAACAGTCTTGTAGACACTTAAGCCAGAAGAATGACAGAGCAGGGAGAGGAGGAAACAGGTCCAGAAAGAGGAATTCGTTTGCCCAAGGTCTCCTTGGTCAAATAAAAGAGGGCTTATTTCTCTCTAAGCTGCCTGTGCCCGTGATGAACATGGTGTTTTAGAAATACTAGTCTGGCAGTGGTCAGCAGCTCAGAGTTGGAAGCTCAGACCAGAGTTGGGGGCAAACAGGGCGTGTTGCAGTAATCTTGGCTTGAGAGAAATTTTTCTGGGAATCTGAAAGGATAGCAAGGAATGAAGGGTAATGGTGGTAAGAGATGGGTGACAACAAGCATGGGGCCCTTTTTATAGAACGTGAGGGAGACTAAATGTGAGACTAAAGGGTGGGGTGGGGGGTGATCTTAAATTAGATAGACTCCAGAAAGAACTAGATGCATTTCCTGAAACAGGCTAACTTTTTTCCAAGACTAACTGGCATATTAAGTGTGTGCTGCTGACAGTGCCTAAACCTCTTGGAAGAGAGAACTTACTTGATACCTTTTTTGGGCCTTTTCTGGTTATGAGTTAGGATAGCTGTATATCATGCCACAGTATGTAGGCACAAACACTTCCTGAAAAGAGGCTTTCAAGTTGTGAGGTAGGTCCTTCTACTCCTTTGTCCTTTTTTTTAGTTCTGGATGTGTTTTGTCTTTTTGTAAGTCATTTTGTTGGAAACTGGGAATGCTGATGGGAGGAACTCACGATGGTGGAAAGGGCTCAGACCTGCAGGAGCTGGGGCCTGGGGTGAGCTCTGACAACGACTGCTGCTCCTTCATAAAGGGCCCATGCTGCTTTGTTTAAAGAGCCTCTTCCTTCCTAGGAATGGATGTGTATGGCTACCTCCTGGCCCGAGAAGGGCGGCTGGAGGACGTGGAGAATCTTGGCTGCCGCCTTTTCAATATTTCTGATCAGCACGCAGAACCCTGGGTGGTCTCTGGGTATGTGTATGCACTCCCTTTTCTCCTTGGTTTTCAGCAGATTCCGTAGGAAATTGTGGCTCTTCCTGAACAGAACATAGGTTGAAAGCACAGGTTTAAGCTAAATCAGAGTCAGATTCAAATCTTGGTCTTTGACTTTGGACACACGATGTACCTCTGTTTTCTCCTTTGGAGAGTGAGGACGCTACCTCTGCTTCATGGGGTGGGTGTTAACTGAGGTAGTGTGTGTGGCGTGCCCAGCACTGCACCTGCTCATGGGAAACCATCAGTGAAAGGGCCCGGAGCTGCTCCTTTGTTACCGACCTGGCTTTACAAATTCTCTGAATGTCTCTCATCTGATAACATAGCCAGATCATCGGTTTCTTTGCCATAATTTTCTCCTTCCATATCAAGATTTCCCCCTTAAAAATAAACAGTTTTTTTTGTTTTGTTTTTTCACTAATATCTTAGATCAAAGCTGGAAGTATGGTTTGTAATAAGGATTATGTAGAGGGCCTTCTCTTTGGTTTTTGGATAAAGCTTCGTAGATACACACCTCGGAAAAACTGTGGGTTCGGTTCCAACCATGGCAGTAACACGAGTATTGCAGTAAAGCGAGCCATAATCTTTTTGTTGTTGGGGAATCTTGCCTTTAATTTGCAAAAACACTCAACATCTGTGAAGAGCAATAAAATGAAGCAATAAAACGTGGTATGCCTGTAGGCTTCTCTCAGATAACTTCCGGTGTTTTTTCCTCCAGGTGTCACAGCTTCTACAGCAAACGCTACTCCCGAGCCCTCTATTTAGGAGCCAAGGCCATCCAGCTGAACAGTAATAGTGTTCAAGCTTTGCTACTAAAGGGAGCAGCTCTTAGGAACATGGGCAGAGTCCAAGAAGCAATAATCCACTTTCGGGAGGCCATACGGCTTGCGCCTTGTCGTTTAGACTGTTATGAAGGTAAGACAGAAGTTACAGCTGAGAAGAGTGAATTTGTAGGTGTGGCAACAGCACTGAGATAGAAGGTTTTGTTAGGCCAGCAGTTCCCAAACTTGGTTGTACATTAGAGTCTACTGGGGAACTTTTAAAAGTTCTGATGCCAGGTCACTCCAGTACCGTTTAAATCAGAGTATTTGGGGTCAGGAGGTAGGCATCAGGATTTTTTGAGGTTGCCAGGTAATGCTAAATGCAGACAAGTTTGGGAACCACTGCATTAAGCATTTTAATTTAAGGCTTTTACTGGACTTTTCACTCCATACTTCCAGAACCCATTTTTCTTATTTTCTGGTTTTTGATGAGGGAGAGTTGAGGTGGTTTGTCTTTCATTTGCTTGTTTTTTCAAATATAGCCCACTCACTAATACGAACCTCTGTGCTGGATCACTTGGTTATGTCTTTATTGTATTTCACAGTTGTCTTAAGCCAAAAGTATTACTCATAGGGTAACTCCATATTCGTATGACAGCGTTGGTTGTGGGAACTGGTTGGTTCGTTGTGACCTCCAGAGTGGGCACAATTGGGGTCAAACTTTGTTTTGTTATGTACTATTTTAAGTTCATGTGAACTGACCCTAGGAGTTCAAAGGAGCTGTGCCAGCTTCAGCCACATTTGGTGACTCAATCACAGACATTAAAATAGATCTTACAAGATGCAGTTCCTCCAAAGCATATTTTTATAAGAATTTAAAAATAAACCCAGGAATCTAGGAGTGATATGCTGTTAACAGGAAGATGAGTTCAAATTTGAAAAATAAAATTTGGAAGTTGGGGTGAAGAATGAGTCTGCTTAGATAGCTAGAGAACTGTGCCTGTTGTGGATTTGTTCTTAATGAAACCCCAGCAAACCAAGCTTTTGGTTTCAGAATAAATTCTTGACCCTGAAACTAATTTCCTTAGCCTTCCAGCTGTTTTTATCATGCTGATTCCATTCTGCTGTGTTCCAGAACTAGCAATGCAGTTGAATAACCACTACCCTAGTGCTTGGACATGGGTTGGTTAGAGCTGCAGGGGGCAGAGGATGTTCCCCAATTCGCCAAAGAGGCTTCACGGGCCACCTTCACTCAAGCTGCCATTTGGAGATTGGATCAGGGTGACTCTGGTTATGCTCCCTGGGGCTTCTTGCAAGCTCCAAAGGAGCTTTCCTTACTGGGGGAGGCCCTAGAGTAGTGAGGTGTGTTCTTTTCATTTACTTGCGACATTCCAGTGGGGCTTTAGCAGGGAAGTAAAACTTCTTAGTAGCTGTGAAGAACCATTTTCTGAAACCAACACATTGCCCTTAAGAGTTAGGTAATTTCTGGTTAAGTAACCATAGTGTGTGGTAAAATGTGCACAAATGTTATAAATGCTGCTAGGGTGGAGGAGTATGCAGAGAAAATCTGCCAGGGATTGTGTGGGTTTGGGGTTTAAGCTGTTTTTCTGTTTTGATGAGTGCTTTGTGCCAAAAAGTACTTCTCTGTTCTCGACTTCTTGGCATTAAAAGTTAAGAGTTGACTCCCCATAGGGCGTCTTGCTGTGGGTACGAAAAGAGGAGCTGCCCATCTCAGTATATTCAGTCGTGTGATGAAGCGCTTTCCATCTAGTTTAGGGAAGCCCTCAGCAAATGCCTTTTGAGATACGTAACTTTGTTTCACCTGAAAAGTCATTCTTTCTCCTTGGGTTGATCCCTAGGGCCTTTAGTTTGTAGAACTGGACATTCACTTTGGACTGTAGGAGCTTAAACCTGGGATTAAAGGTGAACACAGCCAGAAATGAACAACTTGTTAGAGGCAGTGCAACCTTGGGTTGTTGGAAACTCATCTCTTACTATTTCAACTAATGATGGGTTTCACGTTTGTTCCTCTAACATTCAGCTGGCTGCCTACATGCTTCGGTTTACGCGTGTTCGTTCCTTTGCTAACTGCAGGCGCCTTTGCAGTGCAGGCTTTCCCCATATCCGTCAAGTGCTCTGGGGACGAGCACTTCTGTTCTTCCATCAACATACCCTCCAGTCCGATCTCACCATTAAAGTTTCCCCCTGGCCTGCCCGTGTCTGACGCTTTGAAGGTTTGCAATTTGGAAGGCTGTCAGAGTGGAAACATGGCTTGGAATGGTAATGGGAATGTGGTTGAGCTTCCTGCGTTTTTATTTTTTTCAGGTCTCATCGAATGTTACTTAGCCTCCAACAGTATTCGGGAAGCAATGGTAATGGCAAACAACGTTTACAAAACTCTAGGAGCAAACGCACAGACTCTTACCCTCTTAGCCACAGTTTGTCTTGAAGACCCAGTGACACAAGAGAAAGCCAAAACTTTATTAGATAAAGCCCTGAACCAAAGGCCGGATTACATTAAGGCTGTCGTGAAAAAAGCAGAACTACTTAGTAAGTGTATCTTACTTACTTCCCTGTTCATCCTTAACTGTATAAATCCTGATTTCATTTGGATTCCCCAGCCTAGGTGGTTCCAGGTGACCAGACAGGTGTGTTCTTTTGCAGTAGGTCTGCGCCCAGGTGAATTGCTTTATGTTTAGCAGAACCAAACGTAGCTGGCTTAGATTTGCCAATTGTCAGTGGCTGACTTGTGGAATGGCTCACAGCCGCTGTATGTGGCACCTGTTCAGCTCATTTTGATCTGGTTTTTGTTGTCCTGAACTAGTTTGACCAAATATAACGGGTTTTGGCCAGCTTGAACAGTTTTGATTCATCTGGATTCCCTTTTAGCCTTCATTTTTTCATTCCTGATTTGCAATGAACTCCTGACTTTGGGCTGGTTTGGCAAATAAAATGCATTCTGGCTTTTTATTTGAACTTAGGTTAATAGTACCTTTAAAAAAATCCGAACTCAAACTAGATTTCCTAACAGAATAGGAATTCAGATGAGCTTGTTCTCACTTCCTGCCACACCAGTTTTCGTGAGAACATTTACAAACAGATTGTTGAATTGTGATCACTGTTGTGGTTTGTGTGTAAGACTTGAAGTGACAATATATTTTCAAAATGTCGTGTAAGTAGAACAATGAGGGGTCTTTTTCTTTGCAGGCAGAGAACAGAAATATGAAGATGGAATTGCTTTGCTGAGGAACGCCCTAGCTAATCAGAGTGACTGTGTCCTGCATCGGATCCTAGGAGATTTCCTTGTAGCTGTCAATGAGTATCAGGAAGCAATGGACCAGTATAGTATAGCACTAAGGTAGGCATTTAGCCTCCCATGGGGGCAAGGTCAATGAGGGGTAGAGGAGGCAGGAAACGAAGTCACAGGAATTCTGGAAACACACACACGCCCACGACCACGGTTGAAAACAGTAATAATAGTAATGGTAGAAGTTATTTGTGAATATATGACTTCTAAGATTTTTTTTTTTAAGTATATAAATAACATTAAAGAACCGTTTCACTCATAACCAGCTCACACCACTCTAACATCTATTTTCATTTGTGGAGATCATCTTCTGGCCTTGCCCACACATATACATATTTTTATAGGGTTATATGTAGTATATATTTTATATTCGGCTTTTTCAAATCAAAAGTATTGTAAGTACTTTCCCATGTTTCTACCTACTGTAGTAGTTAAGAACTTAAGCTCTGAATACTACCTTTACCTGTTATCTTAGGCGAGTTACTAACAAATTTCCTTGTCTATATCTATCTACCTTATTAGGTATTAAATGATTAAATGAGGATTAAATGATTATTCCATGTAAAGCTCTTAGCACTGTGCCTGGTACATAGTAAATACTAAATAAATAGTGGTATTCTTACTGCTTAATACAGAAGTGATTTCTTTGAGGGTTGTCTGTGTGTCTGTAAGGTTATGGTGAAGGCCTGTCTGTAATTGAGTCTGATCACATCCATTTATTTGTTCAGCAGTTGAGCACTACTCGTGTGCCTGGCATCTCAGTAACCCCTGGGGATGCTGCAATTCCGGGAGCTCTCAGTCTCAGACGTGCAGACTGATGGATACCACGTGCTAAGTGCTTTCATAGCAGTTTCTAGAAGGCAAGGTGGGAGTGCAGGGGTGTGGGGAGCCCTGGGTGTGGGTGAGAGCTGTATGGAAGGTTTCAGAGAAGAGGAGGTAATACCAATTAATCTATGGTTATATAAGTAGGAACAGGATCCCACACGGGTTTTATCTGCTTATTGGAAGCCCAGAAGCAAATGAGCAAGTACAATGCCAGGCTTTATTCGAGGTGAGATTGTTAGCGCTTGGACACCTGCCGACCTAGGTGATGGGCACAAAGACAAGAGGAAAGAGTGCTTAGGAGCCAAGTAAATAAATGTTCTGGAGCTTCTGAACTTTGGGAGATTTTGCACGAGTGATGGCTCTTAGCTGCTAAACTCGAGTGCTCAGGTAGGGGTTGCTTTGGGTCCTGGGGTCTAACCTAGGAGTGGACAAATCTGTTCCATGGTAAGCATGATGATTTTGGTTAACTACTGAAATGATGATATGTTGAATTATATCGTAAGAACATGGAACAGTTTTACTCACAGAAAAATAAATATTTTTGGTAACCCTATAGGTTAAAAACCCAAATACTGTTAAGAAATTACATTTGAATTTTTCTGTATATGGTTGTTTACTACTTTTTCATTTGTGTTATCTGGTAGCTTCCTCTAGCGTAATGCTAGGGGTAATAAGTGTGAAAAGGTTTAAAAATACATGGAGAAAAACTCAAATTGAGAATTCTAAAAATTAAGAGGCCTTTTTTCACTTCTGGTGCTGGACTCCCTCGGTTCCGCCTGTGGAACCAGAGTTGTTCGGAGAGGCTAGGTGTTAGGTTTCTCTGTGACTGGGTGGTCATTTCACTGCCGTGCCAGGGAGATGACGCATCAGCCAGCAAGAAGCAAGGCAGAGATTCAGGCCTCTCCTTTGTTTTGTTGTCCCCTAGTTTGGACCCCAATGACCAGAAGTCTCTAGAGGGGATGCAGAAGATGGAGAAGGAGGAGAGTCCCACGGATGCCACTCAGGAGGAGGATGTGGACGACATGGAAGGGAGTGGGGAAGAAGGGGACCTGGAGGGCAGCGACAGTGAGGCGGCCCAGTGGGCTGACCAGGAGCAGTGGTTCGGCATGCAGTGAGGCAGGCGGCAGCTCCGTGGCCACACTGGCCTGCCCTGTTCTGAGCACTTCCGTGGACTGAAAGAACCCGTAGGAGCCCGCTGTCTGGGAGGACAATGATTCAGCATGTGATTGCCGCAGGGGTTTCTGCCCCCTGGCTCCATATTTCTAGTAGTGACTTCATTTTTAAAAACTGAGCCTGACCAACCTTCCATATATCTCCATCCTCCCCTGCCCCAGCCAGGGGGGCCCGAGTGAGCCTTCTGGGTGCCCACAGATGTGCTGGGGCTTCTGGGACAGAGTGCTTTTGACGTAACTAATTTCTAAACCTGAAAGCTCGAGGAATAGGCAGTGGTTTGTCCTTGATGTTGTGGGTGGGTTTAAAGGCGTGACCTGTCACCCAGAGCGACAGTGTCATCTCCCGAATCTGACAGCAGCTCAGGCTGGCCCTTTCAGAGACTGTTTCCTGTCCCAGAAATCACCGTCCTGGGCTGTCCAAACTTCCCTAGTAACCTTGCTTCCTTCTGCAATGTTAGTAATGCCTTAAGCTGACAGTTGCTATTTTGCAGAACACTTTTTCCTATTTGCTAATCTGGTAACTTGCCTATGAGCCTGGGCCAGATCTGAGAAGCAGGTGTGCCCTAGAGCATGAACGGAGGTGCACCTGGGGTCATTAACTAATAAAACTGTTTTTTGTACAGTAATGGTGTTGGGTTGATCAGAGTGGAAGACCCTTTATAAACTCTTTTGTCTCTTACACACAATGCATTGACTTAGCCCCAGAATTATTTGCTATAAATAGACTCCCTTTCTTCCTAGAGTGTTGGGAGCCAGGGGGATTGGGAACCTCAGGTAACAGTGAGCTGGTTTATCCATTTGCATTTTGGTAAATTTCCCTGGCAGGGAGCCTTTGGACAGATTTGAGACTGATTCTGTGCTCTGTCTGGCTCTGTCAGGAGTTCTGAGGTTCGGGGTCTGGTTTCTGCACTCTGTCGTGAGGTCACCGGGGGCCTCTTTTTCCCTAGGCTTGGCTGCTGGGAGACTTCACCTACCCTCTCCCCCTTGTTTCTTAAGAGACGATGCTTTTGACAATATAGTTAACTTGGGAGTGAAGAGGGGGTAGGGGATGGCATAGCTAATGCCACATTTTCATTACAATAAAATTAGAGGTGGTGCAAAATGTGATTTTAATATAAATGGGAAGTTCTGTCCTAAAGTGTAAAAACAGTGGACGTGTACAGTAGTTTAGGAACATCTGATAACTGCAATTTTCAATGGACAAAAAGTTACTGTTAAAGTATCTTTCAGTATGAGAATCAAAGCCTGGGCAGCAGCATTTGATGGAGCAGTCTCTAAAGAGCCCATCAGGCAGCGGGGGTCACTGCAGGTGAGCGTGTGGCCTGAAGAAGACTCTGCTTATGGGCCTTGGTGCTCGCTGCGGGATGCAGCCTCATGTCCTTCCTCAGCTCGCCTCTAAGAGCCATTACCAGGCCGTGAGTGCATCGGCAAAAAAGGTGAAACCTGTTGGCCATTCCCCTGACTCACAGAGGAAGCCCAGCCCCACCCTCCTGATCTTATTTGCATGTCAGGCTCCTGACTGACCCCTGAGATTCCTGGGGGTCAGGATATGCCTCAGGGCCCAGGCCCTATGCATCGCCCACCTGCCATCAGCACCCTCACGTTTCTCCCCTTTCCCGGGCTGGCCCTCTGCTCTGCTGAGAGCTCTGGATCAGCCTGGCCTGTCCATCCCAGCAACACCCTGGGCTGGATCCCTCAGGCCCCTCCCACCTGCAGCTCCAGCATTTCTACCCTGACAGGCTCCAGGTGACAACTAGGAAGAAGCAGCCGAAGCTCCATTTTTAGAGCACCTGACATAGACTTAAAAACACTCTTGGTCTACAAAGAATGAGAGGCGTTTGACTCGGAACATGCTGAAGATCTCACCTGGTATTGCCATTGTCACTTGTTCTCATAAACAAAAACCTCATGAGGGTGGGGAGCCCCCCCCCGGAAGCAGCAACAGAATCAGGCCACCCAGCTCTGGCTGCCCCACTGAGCCACCTGCCAGGAGACCAATCAGCCTGATGGGATGGCCTGTAGTCACTGCAGCTACCTCCTGGTGTGTGGAGTTTTGCACAGCCAGTGTGGGGATGTTTTAACTGATTCCCATCATCACCCCCCACCCCCTCCTCCATCCCCACCCACCAAAAAAGTTGTAGCACAGGTTTGCAACCAGAGGCCAACTGGGCTCCCCCAGCTCTCCCACTGCCGGTGCTGCAGGCCTGGGGCCGGTAGTGTCTGGCCTGGGCGCATCCATCTGCCTCTGCTCTGGGGACTGAATAAGCCGTGAGGAGTTGAGCATGAAGCCACTGTGAATGCCATCGCCATCATCAGGGTAAATGCCAGACTGCCCATCCTTACCTGGGGGGTTGGGGACTGGTGCTATCACTAGAAGCCTTGTCCTTTTTCTTCTGGAAGTCCCTCAGCTGAGCAGGGAGGCAGGATCCTCAGGAAGGGTGCTCCTTGCCCTCCGCTTGGGATTTCATACTCGGATTCTGAACCCCTGTTGTATGCCAGGGACCTGGCCGAGGTGGCTCCTCCAGGGCTGATGTCAGGAGCTTTCCTGCCAGCCTCAGACCCCTGCCTCTGAATTCTTCCTCAGATGATGAGGCCAGCTGTTGCCCAAATCTACTTTTCAAACCTGAGCATGCTTCTCAATGGTGCAGATTCCCAAAATTAGCACCAAACCTGAATCCAAGTCCAGGACCTGGGCCCAGGAGCCTGCATCTGTTATCACTCCCACCCCTTTTCCTTTTCCCATGCAGCTGTTCCCAGACCCAAATACTGAGAAACCTGACGGGGGGGGGGGTAGGTTTGAGGGCCCTGGAAGCTGCAGCCTGACCTCAAAGGGTCTTGGGGGGCTGCCTGTGGGTGGGAACAACTCCCATGCCCAGGACTTGAGCCCATGCTGAGGCCTGCTCGGCCAGCCTCACAGCCTTGGGCACTGCCTGCTGCACAGGACCAGATTCTCGACCCGACAAGTACCTCACTGCAGGCTCTGGGGACAGCAGTCACAGCCAGGCCCGCCAGGAATCTCTGGCACTGGGAGGGCCCGTTGAGGTAAGTGCCCTAGTAAGGTTTTCCACTTTCCTCATGAGCCTTCCTGCCCCAGGGCAGCGGGAGGGGCACCAGCCACCGCCTCCCCTCTTAAGGTGCAAAGGGCAGGCTTCTGTCTTCTGACCTGCCCCAGCTGCACCTGGGCTGCCAGCAGTCGGTGCCAGGGAGCGTGGGGATTTCCCAGGTTGCTGTGGAAGATGCTGGTTGCTGCCAGCATAGAACGGGTCATGTATCATAAACCACACAGTACCAGCAACACCAAGAAGAAGCCAGAAGCCCACAAGTCAGTCTCCTTAGCAGCTATTAAAAGAAAACAATTTAAAAATCGAGTTCCCCTCGTGCATTGCTGGTGGGAATGTAAAGTGATAGGGCCGCTGTGGAAAACAGTCTGGCAGTTCTTCAAACATTTAAACAATAGCCATATGATATAGCAGTTGCCCTGCTGGGTGCACACCCAAAGGAGTTGAAGCGGGGTCTTCAGATATTTGCACACTCATGTTCATAGCAGCATTATCCATAACAGCCAAAAGGTGGAAACAACTCAGTGTCCATTGTTAGATGACTGGATAAACAAGATGCAACATATCCATACAGTGAAATGTGATTCAGCCTTTAAAAAGGAAGGAAACCCTGACACACGCTACAACATGGATGAACCTTGAGGACATCAGGCTAAATGGAATAAGCCAGTCACACTGTATGATTCCACTTATATGAGATCCCTAGAGGACTCAAATTCAAAGAGAGAGTATCGGGCTGGCAGGAGGGGGAATAAATGGGGAGTTAGTGTTTAAGGGGGTCAGTTTCCCTTTGGAATGTTGAAAAGGTTTCTGGTGATGGTGGTGGCACAACAATGTGAATATACTTAATGACATTGAACTCAGTGCACTTAAAAATGATTATGATGGTAAATTTTGTTATATACAAAAAAAATGAAATGGCCTATATCCTACCATCCACATACCCTGTTGACACATGTATTTATAATATACATGTTATGTAAACATGGTATATATACATGTATTTATAATATATGTTATACATGTTATATATATATGAAAAAATTCACCCGAGTAAATTTGAAGATCTAATTGGCTTTATTAAGCAATTCATGAATTGGGCAGCGTCCCATCTAGCAACTAGAAGGATGCCCTGAACAAAATGGAAGGTTTTTATAGGAAGAAAGGCGCGGTAAGCGAGCTACTGACAAAAGAAAGGATTGTTTTTTGGGGCCAGGACATCTTCTTCAGAGGAAGAGAAGGGGAAGGGTTTTCATCATGCAGATTGTCTCTTCTATGGGGGATGCAGAGGGGCTCGGGTGACAGATCAGGTGACAGATTCCAGGCCGGTTAAGATTGTTCTTGGAAGACGTTCAAACTGTAGTTAGATCGGGTATTAAATCTAGGGTTGGTATCGAAGGCTTTTAGCATGAGTAATGCCATTTGGGGCCTGTGGTTTTTTTTTCCTTAACAAAATGAATACGTGGTTTAAAAAATTCAGAGAGAAAGTTATAATATAAATTTAAAAACATGTCTACTTCCCAATCTCTACTGAATCCATGTCTGCAAAATAAGCTTCTCGTACCACCTTTAGAAAAATGGCTTTGAGCTTTTGAATACTGATCCGTGTGTGTAAGTTACATTACAGTGGTCCTGCTGTACACAGATGCCTCCAGCGGCGTCACTGTGGTCTCCGTTTGTTTTGACAGTTTCACAGAGCCCCCTTCTGTGGATGGCACAGTTTCTGTAACCTGTCTGCTACTGATGGGCACTTGTGTCCAGTTTTGTATGTAAGTCATTCCAGCCTGCACTGTAATGGACGTATGTTCATGCCAAGGGCAAGCGCCTTGTAGGGACATTTCTGGGGCCTGGCGTCTGTGCATCTAAGGCTTTGATGGATGCTATGAGATTGCTCTCCAACAATAATAGATGGGAGTGCTTGTTTCCCACAGCCTCGCCAGCACCAGTGTCATCAGCGTGCTTGTTTTTTTTTTTTTCCCTGTCTTAGATGTGATAAATACTGCCATCATTTTGATTTCCGTGAGCACTCACCTAGGCCAGGCCACGAGGCAAGCCCTTTGCTTGTGTGATCACCTCCTAGCCTCGCCCCCCCGAAGCCTGGGTGGTTAGCCCCACTTGATAGGCGAGCAGACTGAGTCATGGGCACGCTGGCTCTTTTCATCTGTCCAGGGTTTCTCCCCCTGGAGTTTAGTATGTTCTTAACTGTGATCTCCACCCAATTTTGTAGTCTGTGAAAGGGAAAACGGCTGCCCTCAGCACACCTCGCTGTCCGTCTGCGGTTGGTCCTCGGGCCTGCTGGATTTAAAGGCTGTCAGACCGTCTGGCACGGGCAGCACCGTGACGGAGCAGCTCTAGCTGGCCACTTAAATCTTCCTCTGTCTGTCTCTTTATAAACAACCCTCTGGTGACCTTTGTGCTCACAGTTTTTCCTTCTTTGGGTAAATTCCCAGGAGGCGGATTTCAGAGGGAATGGTTATAATGAGCCTTTTCGGAACTGCAGCTAGCTGGTCTCCTCTGCAGTGAATCCGGCAGCGCAGGAGGGCCCTGCGGCCTCCCTCAGCTGCCCTGCCTGCCCGCCCAGGGAGCCAGTTCTCCATTGGCTTCAGGTCAGGGGCAAACCAGGAGCTCCCCCACCTTTGAACCCCCACTTCACTTCCCCCGGCAGGTTGTGGTGAGGTCTGCCAAGGCTTCCGCCTTCACCTCTAGGACCTTTGGGATTTGGGGCCCCTGCCCGCGTAGGACAGCCCTTGCTGGCTCTGGGTTGGGGACTGTTTCCTGGCCTGAGATCAGATGTCCCCTGCTTTAGGGCTGAGGACAGCTGTGTGCTGAATGAGGGTTGTCTGTGTTTATGGGGGGCATGGTTGCTGGCTACTTGTGTCCTCCCTGAGTCCCCTTCAGGGACCCCCCTGGAGGAACCCCGCTCTCCCTACTAGAAGGGCTGTGCCTCTCAGAGGGAGGGCCTCCCTCCACCACCAGTTGGAGCCTCAGGTCGATGGCCTGTCACTTGGCTGTGTGGCCCTGAGCAGCTTCCTTAGCTTGTTTGTGCCTCCATGTTCCTTTGGAAAAGAACTCAGAGTCGGGTCCCCTTTTCTTGTTGTCAGGTATGGGAAGATATGTGAGAAGGACGGCAGCACTAAGCCCTGGGCTGGGGTGTGTGGGCGGGGAGTGGCCCCCAGAGCTAAACCCGGTCCGTTTGGACTCTGTCCTTGTAGGCACAAGCCCTGCTCTCTGGTCCATGGGCTGGGCTCCCTTTGGCCCTGAATCAGCATATTCGCCTGGAGCCCCCTCAGTGCCAGGCCTAGTCCTGCATGGGCCTGTAGTGTTTCAAGAATCACAGATAAAAAACACGTGTGCGCCCCACCCAGGACAAGAAATAGAACATTCCCACAACCCCAGAAGCCCGCTGTGTGCTCAGACCCGACCACATCCCATTAACTCTCCTCCCACCCGCCTCCCCCAAACCTTGCCAGAGGTACCCCCATTCTGAATTTTGTTTTTATACTTCCTTTATTTTCTGACCCTGGAAGTTCTGTGAACCTTGGGCAAATGGTGAGCTCATTTTTCTCACCTGTAAAATAATACTGTTACTGTTTCAGTTTTACCATGTTTTTATCCTAAACACATTTATTTGCTTGTTCTTGAACTTAATGCAAGTGAAGTCATGTTGTCTGTACTTTTCGTGATATATTTTGCTTAACATCATTTTAAAAATTGACCCATATTAATGCCGCTATAACTCGTTCATTTTTAAATAATAGAGCATTATTATTTTTAGAGCAGTTTTAAATTTATAGAAAAATTGAGTGGATAACACAGAGCTCCCATGTACCCTGCATGCAGTACAGTAGTGTGGTATAATATATTACAATGGATGAACCAAGATTGACACGTTATTAATAAAAGCCCATAGTTTATTCAGATTTCCTTAGTTTTTACCTGCTGGCCTTTCTGTCTCAGGATCCCAAAGATAATACATTAGTCATCATGTTTCCTTAGGCCCCTCTTGATTGTGACAAGTTTCTCAGACTTGACTTGTTTTTGATCTTGACAATGGGGCATTCTGTAGGATACTCCATTCATTTCTTTGCTGTATAATATTCCACTGTACGGCTATAACACTCCCATCTTATTAATTCTGCCACTGATGGACACTTGAGTTGTTTTTGCTTTTTTGTTTCAAACATTGCTGCTATATATGTTTCTGTATGCGCCTCCTAGGATGCATAAACACACAATTTCAGAGGTGGAATTGATGGGTGTAGGGTATGTGCGTGCCCAGTTTTACCAGGTATTACACCAAAATGTTTTGCAAAGAAGTTGTGCAAACTTGTACGTACATCTGCAGTTCTTTGTTCCTTCTTCACCAGCATCTGATGTTATCAAACCTTAATTTTCTCCACAGGGTATGTGAGATGAGAGTGATTTTAATTTACATTTTTCTATTTTTTAACAAGATTGAACATCATTTCATATGTTTAGGAGCTATTTGTGCTTCCTTTTCTGTGAAATTCCTTTTTTTCGTCCACTTTTTTATTTTTTAAATTTTTTTTTTTGCTGAGCCATCCTGCCACCTGTTGGCAGCTCAGTGGCAGCTCAGCTCAGGCTGGGACTTGAACTGCTGTTGCTGAGCTCACACACTTGAGCGAGCTCTTAACCAACTAGCCACTCGGCCGGCCCTTTTGTCCACTTCTTTATTGGTGTATTTACCTTATTAATTCACAGAAGTTCTTTATATATATTCTAGATATAATTCAGAGTGTGAGTTGCAAATTTCTTCTTCCAGTTTGTGGCTTGCCCTTTCATTCCCTTTATAGTATCTTTTGATTAACAGAGGGTCTTAATTTTAATGTAGTCGAATTTATCAATCTTTTTCTTTATGGCTGTATTTTCTAATCTTTATCTCAAGTTTAAAAGATATTCTCCAAATATGTATGATGTGAGATAGGGATGGATCCAATTTTATTAATTTTTTTTTTCATTTGTGTTTAAACATGCAGAACCGCCAGTTATTAAAACATTTTCTGGCTTTTCCCTCTGAGCTTAACACCAGCTGGGTCACAAGTCAGGTGTTGCTAGATGAGCGCCTCAGTGTCTGAGCTGTCTCTTTCGGACCGCTGGTCAGTTTTTCTGTCCCAGGACCCACACTGCACTGTCTTCATTACTGTAGCTTTATAAAAATATTTGGAAGAGCAAAACCCCATGATTTTTTTAAACAGTGTTTTGGCTATTCTTAACTCCTTGTACTTCTATAAAATTGTTACTTTCAGATGGTCTAATATATATTTTAAGCTAGATTCACAATTTTCAAAAGGTGAAATTTCCCCATCCTGCCTGTCTTCTCCCAATTTCCTCGCCAGATGCAACCACACTTACCAGTTTCTTGTGTATGTTTCCAGAGATAATCTGAAATTGCATAAATCTGTGTGTATATACCACCTCTTTTTGTACTCGCATAGTTTGTCAGTTTATTTAACACGTAAACTGTTATTCACTAAAATCTTTCCTAACATGTCATGATTTATAAATGTCAAAGAGATATAAAAGTTAAACTTTGTACATTTTAGTCCTGAATCAAGGCATTTTGAGTAGTTTCCAAACTTACAAACTATATTTTATAACTGCTACTAATTTTGATGGAAAAAAAAACAATTTCAACTTCCCCAACGGCTTCCTACCTGACCGCTGGGCATGTGTGTCTCTTCCTGCTGCAGGGAATCACATGAGAAGCACAGACTGCTTTTCCAAACGGGGACATCTGGGTCACACTGCAATCACAACAGAATAACACAGTATATTCTGATAATGTTATTGGTTGTATTTGGGGTTGGCGCTGCCATCTTCTTGCGTCCTTTCCTTTTGTTCTGTTTCAGTTTCTTTTTTTTTCTTTCTGTTGATTTGTTAGTCTCACCTCTGGTTCTGTCTTTTCGTGGTTACCCTATGACAGTCACACCTGCCAGCGTGTCTCCCGCTGAAGCCAACCGGCACCTTCCCTGTGTTCCTGCGTGCCACAGGCCCCCAGGTAACTCAGGCTGTTTGCTCCTGTCCCCTTCTAGAATTTCCCTTAGCCTGAGTCTGCCGGCGAAGAGCTGTTTTTACTTGTCTGAAAATATCTTTATTTTACCTTGATTCTTTATTGTATATTTTCTCCAGGTTTAGAATTCTAGATTGCCAGTGATGTCTTTCTGTATGTGAAGCTGTTTTCCCCCTGTTTTCTGGCCTCCACTTACTGTGGTGAAGTCACCAGCGGCCTCTCACTCTTTTAAAGGTAATGCCTTTTTTCCCCCCTTCTGCTGCTTTTAAGATTTTCTCTTTGCCTTTGGTTTTCTGCAGTTCACTATATGTCTAAGGTTGGATTTTTATTTTTCCAGTTTGTGATTTGTTGGGATTCTTGCATCTGTGGATTGCTTTTATCAGTTATGGAAAATTCTCAGCCATTCTCTCTTCAAATAATACCTTTCTCAGTCTATTTTCAAAGTATTTTAACCTTTCTTTCATATTTTCCAGTTCCTTTTTCTCCCTAAGTCCCCCCCCCCTCCAAGGATAAGGGGGGACTACTGGAAGCATGGATGTTTTATGATCTATATCTAATGCTTCCAATATGGAAGTCTGGGTGGACCTATAGTGTCTATTTCTGGGGGCTCTCACTCACGGTGCCTCGTTTTCTTGTGTACTTGGTTATCAGTGTCTATTTCTGGGGGCTCTCACTCACGGTGCCTCGTTTTCTTGTGTACTTGGTTATCTTTTACTGTGTGCTGCTTTCAAAAATAATTGTGTGGCTCTCCCAAGACATAAAATGAAGGCACCTTCCTCTAGAGAGGACTGATGTTTATTTCTGCCTGGTGCTTAGGGGTACTGCCGGTGACTTACAACTCGCCCTGAGGTTTCACAGACCACCCCAAGGCTGGACATGGGGCTGCAGATCCTCGGTCGCCAGTGTTCATGTGGTCTCTCTCTCAACGGCACGTTCTCCTGGTTCTGCTGAGCAGCACCACGACCATGCTGCCCAGCGCCTTTTGCGTTTGGGGGAGGGAGCTTCCTGTGTACTTCTGGTTTGCTCTTCCCTAGTGTTAGCACTGCGGGGCCACAGCTTAGTGTCCTAGGAGACGTCCCACCTTGGGTGGGCCCTGGATTTTGATTTTGCCCTGTTCACTCCCTGAGCTCTCAAAACCTTGTTTTCACAGCTTCGTTTATTTGGGTAGGTAGATACCACGAGGAGAAAAGTGACCTTGGAAGTTCTGATTCTCTCTCTTGCTTTCTCTTAGATTTTGGCCTGGAAATTCTGTACTATCTTGTAGTTCTTTGATGCTTATAGGAGGATTTTAAAAAATATTTATCCAAGCATTTTAAAATAAACCTTTTATTTTAGAATATTTTTAGACTTACGGAAAAATTGAGTGGATAGCACAGAAGGTTCCCATATGCCCCAGGCCCAGTTTCTTCCTATTAACATTTTACAACAATATGGTACATTTGTCACAATACTCATACATTATTATGGATCCATGTTTATCCATTATTAGATAAAGCCAGATTTCCTTAGTTTTTGCCTCTTTCTTTTCCAGGATCCCATCTAGTAGACCGTATTACGTGTCTTCACGTATCATTAGGCGCTTCCTGGCCTTGTTTTTGATGACTGACAGTTTTAAGGAGGACCAGTCAGGTGTTTTGCAGAATGTCTTTTCAAATTTGTCAGATGTTTTCCCTTTGATTATATGGCTCCGCGGTCGTATGTTTTGGGGAGAAAGCCCACAGGTAAAATGTCATTCTTCTCCCTTCGTCGAGGGTACTTGCTCTCCAGATGACATCACTGGCTGGGGTGGCGTCTGTCCGCTTTCTCCACTGGGGGTTGCTTCCCCCCTGGTCCACAGTGCACGTGATGTGTAAGGGTCACTATCCACAGCCCACATGCAAGGGACAGAAGTAGGCGTCACCTCGAGGGCAGAGTGTCTGTGTGGGAGGTTTCTCCTTTCTCCCATTTATTTATATCCGTGTGGATTTGAGGCTATTCTGCAATTTCCCGGACTGTTCCAGCATCAACACTCAGAGCTTTTTCAGCTGGCTCCTGTGCCCCTTGGACACAACCCCCTTACCGCTGTTTTTGTTTTGAGCACATCCTTCTTTTCTGGTGCGAGTGTCTTCAGGCACATGCTCTAACGTTTTCTGCCCCAGCCCCAGAATCAGCCATTTATCCAAGGACACTTGATTCTCTTTACTGAAGAGTGGTGTTAGAAAGCTAGCACCTTTCTAACTGGGAGTAAAGTGTGCTCATCGCTGCTGGAGGGCCCGGGCTTCTCAGCCCTCAGGTGACAGTACAAGGAAATCTATGTGTATAGACCTGGAACTAGACATAGTCGTGCACGGAACTGTCTGGATTGATATTCAGCCAAACAGTTCATCCTGGTGTCTCCAACTGAAATTCATTACCACATGGATCGTTCTAGCCGCCTTGTCCTGCTTATTTGTAACCTCCCACCTCCAATGTGAGAAACCTGGATCCTACCATCTGCATCGCATTTCCAGTTATTCTCAGCAACCACCATTATTGGCAACTTAACCCTCCCTTTTTAAAAAAAATGGATGAAAACACTATATACACTGCTCAGCACTTGAATATTTTATTGGGCAGACAGCATAGATTGGACAATCGTTCCTGCTGGTTCAGGGAGCCACCTTGTGTTTTTTTTCAAGGCTGCATAATGTGCCGTGGTATTAATGTTTAGCTTACTCAACATCCTGCCTATTGATGGGCATCTAGGTTATTCCCAACCTTTTGTTTCAACAGTGCAGCACCATCATTTTTGTTTTTGTGAAGATGTGTGAGAATGTCACCAAAGTGAAGTGCTTGATTCAAAGGGTATGGATGTTTCAAATCTCAGATATTGTCAAACTGCCCTCCAGAGGTCAGGCCAATTTATATTCTTGCCATCAGCATCAGGACCTGTTTCCTAACACCGGCTGCAAAGGGAGAGATCAGTGACAAGCTTTGATCTTTGCCAATCATATGTGAAGCAAATCTATTTTCCCAATTCTAGGGAGGTGTATTCTACTCTGGGATTTTTAGTCGTTATCACTCTTCTTCCAGGATTTTGTGTCATGCTTTTCGTTTTCCATGTTTTCTCTAAGCACTTCTACGGGTTGCTTTTAAAAAAATCTGACACACAAACAGGCATAAGGAACACCTAAACTCCCAAGCATGACTGATAGAGCCCAGCCCACCCTCCCTCCTAGAACTAACCACTGTATCCACTCATCTCCCTTGTGCCTGGTGTCTTTGAACTCTTGTCACCGAGCTATTTGATCCTAGTCTCCTGGGAGGCGAGGAGTTTGCACCCAACTGTAAATCCACCTTTGGCTGAGTTTAGCTGACATGTTTTTTGTGAGCAACACTTTCTCATTAAGGAAGCTGTGCATTGATTTACCCTCTAGGGCATGCACCTTAGCACAGATGGAAAATGGCCCATGGGCAGGTTAGACTATTACGTGGTACTGCCTTGCACACTTTGAACTTCATATATTTGGTTTCACTGTGCAGGGAAATGTTTCTGTTGATACCTGCAGTTTATTTATTCATTTTTATTGCTGCAGAGAGTGATTTCAATACCGCCTCAAATGTGCTTAACCATTATCCTGCTGCTGCTGTTGGTCATTTAGGTTGTTTCCCATCTTTAATAAACGTCTTATCACGGTGTGAGGAATTGTCTGAAGTAGGTCTAGGAGTGGACCTGCTGGGTTGTATGTTCAGAGCACCCTGAACTTCCTAGATGACAGCCAGCTGTCCCGCACTCTAAGGATGGCCTGTTCTCCACATCCCTGGTATTAGAAGACTTGTCAGTTGATGAGCATGAAATGGTATCTCACTGATTTTAACTTGATCATCTTTTCATATTTGTAAGCCAGTCAAGTTTTCTTGTTTATATCATTTAGCCATTTTTTTTTTCAAATCTTTTGATCTATTTGCAATTGATGGGACATAAGGGATACAGCTGTGTTTTTTTTAACCCAACTTTTCCCTGCTAAGCTGAAATGCCACCTTTCTGTTTGATTAAAATGCCTGTTGGTATTTTCATATTATCATTAACATATGAATTATATATCCTTTCCATTAAGATGTTGGTTCCCCCCAAATTATTAAACTTTCCTAAGAATGCGATGTTCCCATGGACCCAGTATGACCCTGGCTGTTTTGTTTACTCGTAGGCATTTTCCTCTCGTTTGATGGCCACAACTCCCCGCAGCGGTGATAGGAGTGGGCAGGAGTAGACGGTGAGTGTAAATCTGGTGTTTCAGTACTGCTGGATTGTGTGTCATCAGGTTATAAAACGGGAGTTAAGGATATTCAGTTTTGTTTTTTCTGTATCTGTAGAGTCAAGGGGTTTAGGTTTGTTAGGTTTACAGAATCAACTTATACAATCATCCAGCTATCCTTGCACCACTGATTGTTTTAAATGATAAAAGAATCAGCTTAGGGAATTTGGAAAAGAGAAACACCCCACTCAAACCCACCCCTGGCAGATAAGCACTAACCATAAAATGAATGAATCCCAGGACCTGCTTCAGTTTTTCTCTGTATCTATAACTGTGGAATTGTACGTTCTGTATCTGAACAGTTTTAGAAGCATCTCTCCATTGCTACATCTCCAAGCTGCTGACTTTTTATCATGCTAATTATCTCTGAAAACTACACTGACGACACTCAGCTTTCCCTATACTTGAGGGGAGACAGTGGAGCCAGGACAGAAATTTTTATAAATCTTGTGTCACATGAGCAGACCTTTTACCACTCTGCTTTCCTACCCAGAAAGTCCAAGAACTTCCCGTTCCTTTCATTCACACGAGGGCAAACTGCTCGGGGTGCAGGGCTGGTGGCCCTCTGTGCACATCATCCGTCCCTCCCATAGGAGAACAGTCAACAGCAAGCACACTGTGAACTTATCGTAGAATAGATTTATTTACCTGAAACCATTGTCTGTGCAATGCTTGTTACCAGCACAGAAATAAAACAACTGATCTCTATTTACAGTCTAAAGTCAAACATGCGTTGTGATAAATTGACGTTTAGCATTTTATTAAGATAAATGCATCACAATATTGTATTGCACCAATATCTGTCTACTGCTTCTGATTTCATTAAATAAGTTACATTTAATACAGTGCAAAATAGCTGTTTGCACACTCAAAAAATAACTGAAGTTATGAACTGGAGGCCTACATTTTAACCATTTATAACACCTGTAGTGTTTTCAATAAATTTATAAATAAGCAAAACTGTACAGGGCCAATTAAAAAGTAGCATGTTTCAACGACACCGTAGAGAAATCTGGCTACTTACAACTGAAGGCATGCATTACAACTGAGTATTGGCTATTGTACATTTATATAAGCTCTGACATTTTACACAGAGAAATATGGAGACTTGGCTGATGGCTTCTAAGTTCTTGGATAAGGTTTCAGAACCTCATTCTTGCAGCAAAGAAACCAAAATTCTCTGTAGAGGCTTTCTGATTCATTAAGCTAATTGTACATTTGTAATTATTTTGATTTAAAAGCTAAAAACTCCATGGTAATTAATACACATTTCCTCCACATAACACACAATGAGTTGGGTACTTGTTTCTACTTTTCTTCCCCCCCTCCCCCCAACATCAATCATGCAGAGGACTGGTAGATGTGTTGCTAAAAACGCACATGCACGCAACCGAACACCCTTACATTTCTGCAAAATGATTTAGGAAGCGGTTACTCCAGTATTGCTGAAAAGGAAAGAAAGAGGAAATCAGCTTTATGAAATATGGGGAGGAAATGTTAGAATAACTATTTAAGACCAAGATTAATAGTGACAGATTGACAGATGAAAGGGAATATTCAGTTTGGTCTTTTAAGATTTTAAGAGCAGCATTTCTGATTAACTGTCCCTGAGGCCCTGCCCACACAGGGTAGCATCTAGAAGCACTGGCTCGGCAACACAGACTCCTCATGTCATCTGGCTACAGAGCAAAGCCCCCCACCTTCTGGCTCCCAGGACAGTCCCACCAGGCAGGCACTTCATTGCTTCAGGTGTAACAGGGGTGAGCTGGGCAGGAGGAGGGACAGTTCCTGGTTAGCAGTGCAGAGGGTGAGGGAAGGGGAGTGAAGCAGAAGTGAGCAGTGGGGCAGGCAGGCCAAGCCTTCCCTCCCCTCCCCTTCCTGCCCCAGGGACAGCCCTGCCCTGTCCCAGAGGGAAACTGCTGTACCTCGCTGCTTATCACCATTCCCTTTCAAGATAGAAAGCTGGAGGTTCCCTTCATTGTTCACTGCAGGGTGGTGGCTTTGACAGAATTTGGTGGTTAAATTAAAAAGGCAAGGGCTGACTTCGCCCTGCAGACGCTGCAGGCTCTGGACTGTGGGCAGGTGCTTGGCAAACACTGAGCTAATGCTTGTGGTCTCATATTGCTGAGGGCTGCCTACCACAGACAGGTGGGGGGCTGAGGCCCCAGGTTGAGGGTGATGTGGGAGCAGCTCCTTGGGAGGCTGGCAGTTGCTCTGCTGGCTGCAGGCTCATGCAGCTCTCCCGACAGAACGTATCACCGCCATGTACAGAGGCAGGAGAAGCTGCTGGGTGGCCCTGGGAGGGGACGTGAGATTGCCATCTTCTGGCAAAGCTGTATCAGAGGCCAGGCGAGCTTGGGGTGGCACAAAGCAAAACCCTCTAATGGGATGGGCCGAGGGCCCCCTGGGAATGTGTTTTAGGCAAGAGCTGCCTGACCACACCTGCATGGCAGGCTGAGGGGAGGGCTGGGAAGACGCCCTCACTACAGGACGGAGGCCTGAGCCCAGGGATGTGCCCTCAGCAACACAGCTGTTTTCAGAGGCCCAGCCTGAAGCGGAGAGGACACGGGGGCTCTTCCCACTCCCAGCTGTCTGGACCGAGGTAAGTGGGTGCAAACCACCTGTGGGCTGGACGGGACTGAAGCTAAGAAACCACAAGGCAATGGCCAGCCCAGGGCCACCTGGGGCTGTGCGTGTCTCCTACAACAGCCCGCACCATTCAGCTTATTTTGTAAAGGCCACTAAATCCAGGAACTGAGTCAGGAAAAGTTGACTGTTTGGTTAGCTTGGTTTCCACAGAACAGCACACCACCACCACTCAGACATCGTTTTGGTTTGCAGCCAAAACACTCTCCTTCCATTTGACCCACTCGGCCTGTTGCTTTTTACACCTCAGGATGCTACAACTGGCCAAACCTACCCCCTCCATTCTCTGCCCAGCCAACTACCCTGCCCTTCCTCAGGACTGCATTTGGTCAGTCTCCATGTTCCACTTCCACCTCCTATACTCAGACCACTGAACTTGGCAGCACTTCGTCCTGCTTGATGCCTGTTAACTTTCCCCCAAGCTCGCAGCATGTCCAGCACATCCGCTGGCTGGCCCAGGAACCAGGGCCCTCACAACACTCGGGGCCTCACAGCCCACCCAATACAAGCTGCTGCCTGGCCTCCTTCACGCCCGGGCTGGTTGTTTGCCGGCCGAGCAGAATCATGCCCTAGTAACTGTGTTTAACGTACCCTGGAGAGAGACAAGCCTTAGCTGCAACGATGTGACCCAGAAGGTGAAAAAAACGTGGCCTATTTAAGAGGATCCTTATGGATGCTTGAGTTCACTAGTTCAGTTACTTGCTTTCATTAACTTTTTGCTTTTTAATGAACCAACGTTCTGGGACAAGTCCTTGCAGCTAACAAAGATCAAAAGAACCACACAAGTCGCTGTGAATCCTCAGCTCAGCACCAGCAAGGGCCCAGCTCCCTCCACCTGTCAGTCTAACCACATCAGAACGAGCTGCCCTTCTCCCAGGCCCTGTCCAAGGCACTAACCCGGCCCGTGTGTGCCCAGGTAGCACGCGCCATGCGCCCGCTGCTCTCGGGGACAGCCGCAGAGCACAGCAGTGCCTGACACAAGGGCATTCATTAGTGTCATACAGCTAGGTCACTTGGTTTCAGTCGACTTTAGGGAATACTCACGTTAGTTGACGGATGTTGGAAGGCATTGGAGGAAAACACCACAGTTAGGGCTGTTAATGACTTATACACTGTTGGTAAGACTGATCTGGAACATGCGCAAACATTTATCATAGTAATGATGGTGGTGGTTAGTACCACATTCAAATAAAAATAGTTCTATACAATATGTTCATTTGGTCATGTGCTATTTACAGATTTTACAAAACACACACACACGCGCACACACACTTGCCCTTATGTTCTCTACACCAGGCTAAAACAGGCCAGCAGAAACGCACAGAAAATGTGTCACAAGTGACAATTAGTGCCTAGACATTAAAAAATAAAATTCCTACAGCTACCTAGGCAGCAGAACAGGATCCTTCTTCCCCTCGAGCACAGTAAAACTAAAGATCTGAGAAAGTTGAACACTACAGTTCAAGCTAAACCACTTAAGAGTTAAAAACAAGACAGTTATTTTTCTGTCCATTTAAAAATGTTTTATTTCTTTTAAACTAGATTGTGAAGTGCCACTGAAATAGGCAATGTTGGCAAAACAATGTCTGTTACAGTAAAATACACTAGACATTTAAATAAATAACCTTAAAAACTATGTGAGGGGACATGAACCCGGTCGATTGAATCTGGAACAATGTTTTCTGCACAAGCGAGAACAGGCATACCTCTTGTTAAGACTGATGTAAACAGAACCATCGAAATCCTACAGGAGAAGCAGCCGAGCGGGGCCAGGAGTGGGGGTGGGAGTGAACCGAGAGGGGTGAGGGGTGGCAAACCAAAAAATACTGACTGAGGTAGCAGTACTCTGCCCAGTGCAGAAAAATTGGCTTATGAATAAAAATTAGACTGTGATCTCAGATTAAATCCAGATGATCATGCAAAAGACAATACATGCTATTTCATTTTAGAAAAACCACACACATTCATCTCCTAAAATCTGCTGCCAATTAATTTGCTGACAATGTCTGCTGGCTCAACTTTTTTTTTTTTTTATACAAGGATGAGTATTAAACAGAACACTGTACATGCTTTTTCATCTACAAAAAAATATTTGCATAAAATAGTGTTAGTTCTCTGTACATGTCAATGGACACTTTAATTATGTGTATAAAAAAGGAAACTCTTGCCCCACTGGAGTCAGAAAAAGCAAAACAAAACCTAGAGTATGAAACCGCCTTCACCAGCCAGTATGTTCATGTGAAAATTCAGCAGAAATAGACAGTTGCTTGAAACAATAAAAAATTAATTGATTAAGTTAAACATCTTCTTTATGGAAAACTGTCAGTCAAGACCAGAACATATCACTAAAGTTAGTGTCTGTGCTATACACCCAGACGACCAGGGGCATTATGAGCAGCACAAAGGGCCAGGAAATCCCGTCGGTGCATGCCGAGAGCGAGCAGGATTTGGTGGCAGGCTGCACACACTCTTTACCAGGCTCCAGGTAGTTGCGGGCCACAAACTTGAGTGTCTCATCCATTAGAATCACAGGCAAGGAGATTTTCAGCACCATCAGCCACTGGGTCAAGTTCAGCGGGGTGATCTGGAAGATAAGCTGCAATACACAGAAGCTGTGTCAGGCCCCAGATGTGCTGGAGAGGCCCCAGGCCCTGCCCAGCCGGGTCCCACCACCGCTTACTGGCAAGGGTTCCACGTAGAGGATCAGGAAGTGGAGAGACATGGACAGGCAGATGGAGCCCACGAGCCAGATATTCTCCCAGGGGGGCATCCTCAGCAGGGACTGGTTTTCAGACAAGCTGCAGAACAAGGGCAGGTACGTGAAACAGGCCCACCAACAAAGGCGTGTGTCCCAAGTCACAGACTGTTTGGAACCACGCTTCAGTGAGGCGGCAGCAACCTGGCATTGCCCACTGACCTAATTCTGCTGAAGTTTCTACTGGGGCAAAGTTAAGGAACAATGCTCAGATGTAGGACAAACTTCCAATTTTAAATCTAGGCTTCGGCACAGCAGATCCCATTTCATTGGGCTCAAAGCCGCTCAATTGCCCTTGACACTTGGGCTATTTCGAAATTTCCATTTTTGTCAGTGGCTTAATTGGATAGCGGTCTCAGTGTAAAGGGAAAGCGCTCCTTCCCCACGGGCACACCGGGCACTGACGGCCCTATTCGTCCCCCACTGTCTCTGAAGGGACATGCAGGTGCTAAGCACTCGCGCCATTTCCTGGAGATGACGACACTTAAGCTTAAAAAAACCGGTGCTGCTTGTTCTTTCCTTTTGGGAAGGAGGAGCTTTCCTGCGATCCTCAACCAGCCACGGCACACAATCCCACTGCGCCCTGGCTGTCGGAGCTTTCGCCCCAACTTGCCGAGAAGACTCACTGACCTGTTGAGGGCGTTACACATCTCTATGGTTACGAGAACAGAGAGCGCCATTGTCATTGGGTATGGGGATTCAAAGATTGCACAATCCACTCCTTCAAAGTCCGGGTTGTCCTCTTTACACTGTAGGAAATGACTCTGCAACAAAAGCCCAATCAAGTTCCTGATCAGCCGAGTCCATTTCCTAAGTCCACACAACCAATTCCACACCAAGCCTGGAGAGCGG